TCTGTCCTATAGGGTCACTATGAGTCAGAATCGACTTGATGGCAATGGGTTTGGGTTTACTTCGATAACAAGCAAAGTGAGTACAGAGGGCCACAATTACTCTAGAAAGTCTTGTTGAGTCATAAATGTAAGCAGGTTATCTATATGTGAGTATTTACAGTCCCATGAAATTATGTGAAGCTATCACATCTTTTCTCTGGGCAGCAGCAAGATGTAATAGTTCACCCTCACATTTGAAGGGATTTCTGGAGGGGCATTCCTTTAACTACTTTGTACCCTTGCATCTCTAAAACATAAAGAAAGTAAAAGGATCCCTAAGTAGGCTCTACATTTTACTACTTACGGGATAGGATTATTGCTAGTATGGGTCACTAGTATTTCTCTAACAGAAATACTTAACCGGGAGAGCACACCCCCTAAAAAAATAAAAACACACTGCTGTCAAGTCAATTCCAACTCATGAGTACACCCCCTAACTAGGGCCTTTTTCTAACTCATGCACTCTCTTAGAGCTTGTGATACAAGCCCAGGGCAACAAGCCTCCTGATCCTCCCAGTCCATAATCACCACCACAATGATTGCTCTAACAGAGGGGAACACATCATCTCTCTTGGTGTGTTGGGAAGAAGGATTTGAGGACAACTGAATACTCACCATTTTGGTAGTTTTAGTTGGTGAAGGAGGACCTTTAAAAAAACAAGTCAAGTTTTAGAAATAGAGGAAACAATCCTAGATCACAAATACTGCTTGCTTATGTTTATGATAAAACTAGCTTTAACTTTTTGTTGACTAGTAAATTCTATGTCCAACACCTCCTATGTGCTAGGTATTATATATATATTATCTTATTTAATTCTATGACAATCCTAAGGCATAAATGTTATCACCATTTTATAGACAAGGTAAACCAAGGCTCAAACAGATTAACATTACTTCCTTGCACCAGAGAACCAGTAAGTGGCAAGGCAGGAAACTGCTGTTGAACCTGCCTGACATCAAACCCCGGCCTCTTGGTTATATTTGTTAGAGACCTGGATAGCTCTATGGCATGCACAAAGTGATTTTTACCTTACTCTGAACACATTCTACCATATCACCCAGAGAAGAATGAAAATGGTGCAAAGTAATGAGAAGAAGAAAAACTTCTCATTACTTTGCACCATTGAAATTAAGTGTTCATTTGCCTCAAAAAAGAAAAATAAAAGCCAGAGAGATAAAAGAGTGAACGGCTAAATTTTATTCTTTAAAATACTAGACATTCATAGGCATGGATCTAAGAAAGTCTATTAAAATGTAACTTGGCAATTAGTCCTTGGAACTGGATTTGTAGTATGTGGGAGCAGTTCAAGTCAGCTGATGATCTTGGAAAATGAGAATTACATTTCTCTCATAGGAGCACTGGGGGGCTTAATTAACATTTACCAGTAGATACCAGAACTTAAGATAAAAGCTTTATAAGCACAAGCTATCATGATTGCTTCTGCAGAACAGGTTAATACACAATCCAGTATTTCACTTATCCATAGAGATCTTTGCTTTTTGAAAACACCTTTGGTGCAGTACAGAGATCCAGATGAACACCATCATAAGTCGAAAGAGTCAATTTCTATTATGGTCATCAACAGAGAAAATGAAATTAAGCAGATATATTTTATTGGAAATAGCACAATGCTGTGATTCTCCCTGATCATTAAAGCTATATATCAGATTTTTAAGAGCATACAGAAGGGACAAAAACCCACAACGGATACAAATGAAACCACTGATAACAAAACAAAAAAACTTCTAAAAAAGACACTGCTTATGGAAGCAGACAGAACCCTAAGAAAAATGGACACTAGTTACCAGTTAAGTCTGTTGGGAAAAGAGACACCCTGACCTGTAAGGAAGGATAATTAATTAACAGTTATAAATGCATGAACACTGAAGAGTCTTCCTTGTTGTGTTTTTACTCACCTCCTCTTAAGATAAGCAAAGGTACATCTGCACCTACTGGAAACTGCTTTAGCACTTCTACCACTTGGAGATGTGTTAAATTCTGCACATTTTGATGGTAAATCTCCTTAATTATATCCCCTTTCTGAAGACCTTGACACCACTGGCTATCCAATATCATTTTCACCTTCTGTCCAGTTGGGCTGTCGGCAATTGCAAACCCAAAGCCTTTAGGGCCCTTAATCAGAGAGATAGTCACCAGTTCAGGCTGGGAGCTGCCTGATGATGCCATGGATGCTCTCTGCTCACTCGGATCTGACGGTCCATTGAGACGATCACTGGTCAGGGTGTGTCCCAGTTTTCCATTCTGGTCCATAACCATTGCTCCTGGCTTAAAATCCTGAGTATTCATGCCAGTCTCTCCCTTAGTTAATGACTGTCCATTGATGACAGGGGTAGCAGCAACAATGTCTACAACAGGGTCTTCATTGTCATCAGGAAGTGGATAACCACGACATAAAGTGAGGTTTACATACTGATTGACAGGTACCAATTGAAACATCTGGACAACATCTGCATGGGTATGACCAAGGACACAGTTGCCATTGATGTCTACAATAACATCACCTGGTAAAACATAATCATGTTACAAAAAAACTGTGAATTCCCAAATAAGTTACTTCCAAATTTAATTCTTTGGGATGGGGAGGCAAAAGTAACTTTAAGTTAGCATCTAAATTTGAATTCTGGAATCCTCTTACTGTGGATTAACTGTTGAAAAAAACAGATTTCCAACACAGACATGTCATTCTCCCTTTTGTGATTCCTTGCTGAAAGGCATATATAAGTGTCTAAAATCCTCGTTATTTTAGCAGCAATGAGTTATGACCTTAAGTTCAAGTAAATGAGTGAAAAAAAAACAAAAACCCATAAATTCATATTATCTTTGTTAGCATATCCTCTGAGTCACACCTAAGAGGTCACACAAAACTAGGCACACCATAGTAGCTATTTAATATGTAGAAAAGAAGCAAATGACTCCAGTGGTTACTTGTACAGTCTATCTTTAAACGGTAACTTATTTCTTGGTTTTAAGAAGCCACTGATTAAAATGTACTTGAAAATTCATCCTTGTTTAAGAAATGCAGAACTGAGGATTAGAATAATATTAATTTAGGAATATTTTGTAGAGATTTTTAATTTACTGTAAATCAGATTTCAAAAGAAGAAACAAGTGACAAAAAACCCAACAGAAGCAAAGGGTAGTTATTTAAGACACTGAAAAGCCAGCTAAATTAATTCTTATAAAAGTTACTTTTGCTTTCCCAATTTTACGTTATGACCTCTGAAGAATCATTGCCACTTGACATTCATCAGTTGGGTATTCTTCTAATGCAGCCTTGGCTTTTTAAAATTTGTCGTCTGTTGTCTCATTCATTTGTAGTTTTTATTTGAATGTCATTATTTAAAAGGTTATTTCCAAATAAAATTGCTTTAATTTGTTCTGATTATGGTTAGCCTTTAAAAGATCGACACAAATAGTGTTAAAAACAGATGCTAGTCTGTGGAAATTTATTTCATGATCTTTAAAGATACAGAAGTTAGACTAATTAGAAATAAAATTTTGACTTTCTGCTTCTGGAAAAATCTCCCAAAATTTTTTATGGAAGTTTTGTATTGGTATGCAAATTACATTATAACAGTTTCAGACAAATCTGAATCAATATTATAAAATCCTGAGAGGATACAGGATAGCTAAGAGATATGTCTCACAGACAAATGTTAAAAAAGATAAAGTTGGAACTAAATAAAAACCTTACTATTAATTTTAATCTCCAGAGTTTGTTATTTTTATTAAACGAGAGCTAAAAATAATTTTGTTTATAAATATAACTTTCAATTATTTTGAGTTTTCTTGTTTCAACTTTCTATCATCTTGATAGAAAAGCATAATATAATATATCTTTATATTCTAACTGAAAATTACTTGGTATCCGTCATTAAAAGGTACTATGAAAACGGAATAATCCAAATTGGGGCCATATTTACATGGTATGTCAAATAACAGAAGATTAGAAAAGTCTAGTAAATACTACAAGAAGAAACTTCAACAGAATACTAAAAACCTTCTAGAAAAAAGTGACTAAAAACCTCCCTCATGATCAGTAACTAGTCTTGAACCCCCTCCAACCTCCTCGGCCACAAAGACTGTCAGCCATATTAAAATATCTAACAATTACCAAACAAAGACTTTGGTTATACTATATAAAAGACAACTTAAGTTTATACAATTCTGTAAAAATAGTAATACGTGTTTCTATTAATTCTTAACACAGAAGTTCAATTTTACTAACAGCCAACAAGACTAGGGAAGCAAAAATACTTGGGAAAAACTGCTAGATAAAGCAATTTGCTTGATATCACTATAAACATCCGAATAAACCATTTTTTCAAAGAAAACTACAGGTAAATGTTAGATTGCTCCAAAAGTATCACATAATCAAAGAAAATTAAACAACCAAATAGTTTTCTGAGATGTTAATAAATCCTTAGCTTAGTATAGGCAAGAGATTATTTCAAAGTTATATAAACTATCAGAGGATAAATTATTTTAATACAGGAGTCACCCTCTCCAGTTTATATAATTTAGTATGATATATGTAAATAAATTTAAAAAAAAACTCTCATCATTATAATTTTTATCATAGTGCCACCATTCTTCAAGTAATTCTGAAAAATACAGTTCTCAAAAGAAAATTACCTGGTGCAATTTTCCCATCCTGAGCGGCAGGACCATCTTTCAGAACATTTTTCACTTGTAGGAACTCATCAGGCCTATCTCCACCAATAATGGTAAAACCAAATCCCATTGTGCTTTTTTTCAGTGATGCTCGAACAAGGACACCTTTAAGCTGGGATGGATCTCGAGTAAAGTGTGATTTGTCCACATCTGTGCCAAAATGAAAAATGAGTTTGGGAACAAAAGCTATGACAACAAATACAGTCCTCAAAGCCAATCTTCAAGATAGTATATATAGCTTAAGTCTAACAAACCATAAAGGAAACAAAATTAGAAAGAATCTAATGTTAAACAGTTAGGATTGAAACTCCTAAGTTAAGTCATTGAAAAAGAATCTTAGCTAATGAATAATTTTTCTATTACAGAATTCTATGTTATTTGAAGAACACAGCATCAGTTTTGGAGGAAGACTCATTAACACAACCTGTGATATGCAGATGACACAACCTTCCTTGCTGAAAGCCAAGAGAACTTGACGCACTTACTGATGAAGATCAAAGACTACAGCTTTCTGTATGGATTGCACCTCAATATAAAGAAAACAAAAACCTCACAACTGGACCAATAAGCAACACCATGATAAACAGAGAAAAGACTGAAGTTCTCAAGGATTTCATTTCACTTGGATCCACAATCAACACCCATGGAAGCAGCTGTCAAGAAATCAAACGACGCATTGCATTGGCAAATCTGCTGCAAAAGACCTCTTGAAAGTGTTCAAAAGCAAAGATGTCACTGTGAGGACTAAGGTGTGCCTGACCTAAGCCATGGTATTTTCAGTCGGTCCATATGCATGCGAAAGCTGGACAATGAATAAGGAAGAATGAAGAAGAATCGATGCCTTTGAATTGCGGTGTTGGCAAAGAATATTGAATATGCTATGGAATGCCGGAAGAACAAACAAATCTGTCTTGGAAGAAGCACAGCCAGAATGCTCCTTAAGAGCGAGGATGGTGAGACTTTGTCTCATATACTTTGGACATGTTATTAGAAGGGACCAGTCCCGGGAGGACATTATGCTTGGTAAAGCAGAGGGTCAGCTAAAAAGAGGAAGATCCTCAATAAAATGGATTGATACAGTGGCTGCAACAACCGCCTCAAATACAGCAATGATTGTGAGGATGGCACAGGACCAGGCAGTGTTTTGTTCTGCTGTACACCAGGTTGCTATGAGTAGGAACTGACTCGATAGCACCTAACAACAACGTTATCTGAAAGGTAAAAGCACCTTCTTATATCTCCTCTGCATTGCCCCATTTGTACTTACTTCTCTCATCTCCAAAGAGTTCACTACATAAAATCAAAATGATGCAACTGAGGGACAGTCTTTATTACCAAAGTCCTGAAAGTCTTAGACATTTATTCAGCTATAGATTTTATTTGAATAAGCATCAATGAGCTCTTTCTACATGGAAGATGAAGGCAATGACACAAACAATGACAAAAAAGAGAATATATAAAGAACTTTGTATAATTCACAATCCAGGTTTTTTTGTAGCCTCTAATTTATATCTGATGGAAGGAGTGAATCCTTGAACAACCAGTAAACACCTTCAAGTTTCTTTGCCCTTCACTCATGTTTAACAGATGCTTTAGGAAGAAAAAACACAGTCCCTTTAAAAAGCTTATTTTTTGAAAGTTTCCTTAGATGATCCTAGAACTAAAAGCGATTTACATTTGCAAATAACACCTCCCTTTCCTACCCTAGAACCTTTCCCCACCTCTCCACCATCATGGCAGCCATTAAGGCAGTTATGAAAACCCTGAGAGGATCAAATTGTATAGATTTTTAATTTACAAAATTTTGTTTAAATTAACTTTTTTAAGATGGCTTATTTTCTGCCAAATCTATTTTTGCCGTATTTATTCAGATGTAACTCATATACCATACAACTCAGCTATTAATGTATAATTCAATTTTTTTTTTGTAATATACTGGTTTGTACAACCATCAACACAATCTAATTTCAGTAAATTTTCCTCTGCCCAAAAAGAAATCCCTGTATCCATTAGTCGTCACCCTCCATTTCTCCCCAACCTGGCCAGCCCCAGGAAATTTTCTGTCTTTATAGATTTGCCCAATTTGGACATTTCATATCAATGAAATCATATAATATGTGGTCTTTTGACTGGCTCCTTTCACTTAGCATAATATTTCCAAGGTTCATCTGTGTTGTAGCATGTATCAGTACTTGATTCCTTTTTATGATGAATAATATTCCATTGTACCACCTTTTGTTTATCTGTTCATCATGTGATAGACACTTGGGTTGCTTCCACTTTTTGGTTATTATAAATAATGCTGCTATGAACATTCATGTCTAAGTTTTTATTTGGATATATGTTTTCATTTCTCTTTGGTATTGTGTAGCAAAGGATTAACCTTTCCCAAAGAGAGGTCTGGCCTTTGTCCTCAGCTCCTGATTTGTCTTGCCTGATAGGAGTACCTCTGTTTACTTGGGGGCCTTGGGCCACACCAGATAGTCTACGCTAACAATGTGATTTATGGTGGGGGCTTTGGGCCACATGGTATCAGCTCAACCTTTGGAGGGGCTGGAGACTGAGGTCAGCCATGTGAATAATTAAATATGTCTACATGACAAAGTCCCAATGACAACTCTGGCTACCAAGGCTTGGGTGAGCTTCCCTGGTGGGCAATACTCTGTGCATAGTGTCACACATCACTATGGCAGAAGTTAGCACTGTCCATGACTTTACTGGGAGAGGACAACTGTAAGTTTTGTCCTTGGAACTCTCCAGGACTCTGCTCCATGCACTACTTACCTTGGCTAATTTTAATCTGTATCCTTTCACTGTAATAAGCTGTAACCACGAGGATAACAGCTCTCAGTGAGTTCTGTGGTCACTCCAGTAAATTACTGAGCCTGAGGGTAACTCTGGAGATCTGAAATTGCAATTGTGTCAGAAGTGAAGGTGGTGTTGGGGATCTCCTAACATTGGAGGTATATACCTACCAGTGGAATTTCTGAGTCGTATGGTAACTATAGAGTCCTGGTGGTGCAGTGGCTAAGAGCTTGCCTGTGAACCAAAAGGTCAGCAGTTCAAATCCACAGCTGCTCCTTGGAAACCCTATGGGGCAGTTCTACTCTGTCCTATAGGGTCACTATAAGTTGGAATCAATGGCAACTATGTTTGACATTTTGAAGACCTGCCAAATTCTTTTCCACAGTGACTTTGCCAATTTACATTCACATTACAGATGCATAGAAATTCCAATTTCCTACATCCTTGTCAACACTTGTTATTGTGTGTATTTTTATTATAGTCATTCTAATGGGTATAGAGTGGCATCTCATTGTGGCTTCGGTTTGCACTTCCCTAATGACTTAAATTAACAAGACCAGCTTGTTTCCTACTAAGATCACACTCAGTGCTAGTGTTGTGCCTAGAGTTGTTTATATCTGCCATCCTTCTTAGCAAAAGTGTTCTAAGAGACGTGCATTACTATTCGTTGTCAACTAGGAGAAAGCAATCCTTAGGGCTGCCCCATATGGTTACGCACACTGTGCATTACATAAATAGCTCTCTCAAAATGTAGGGCCACCCTGGAAGCGCTAACTAACACAGGTTTGGCTGGGGAGCAGGTCTACCTTATTTGATATGTTCTCCCTAGATTTGTTTGATCTCTTGCAAGTAAAAATCCTTAACGCTAAAACACACACACACACACACACACAAAAAAAAAAAAAAAAACCCAGCTATTTTAGGGTTTGTAAAATAGAGGACTAGACTCTGGACAGCATGAATTCACCACAGTAAATAGCACTTTGTCAGGCCTCTCAGTTAGCCCACTTATGGTGATATGTCAATGCACTTCTGTGTTCTTGGTGAGCCTTTGACATTCAAAATAGCAAACCACCCTCTGAACTAAATATTAACATTTAAAAAATTATTTAATTGACATGTTCAATGTCCATTCAGATATGTAAGTTCCTTATGACTGTCGACCAGTGCTGCCTTCTTGTAGACAAAAACATTTATTTAATGATCACGTACTTGAGGACAATATCGTTACTGAAATATTCCATTCTCACTTATTATGTCAAATATTGAAATATTTCTGGTTAGGTATTCCATGCTTTCATCCCCATGAATATTGGAATAAGATTGCCTCTGAGGGCTAAACTAGAAAACCAGCATATAATGGACAAGAGTCAAGATGGGCAAACACTAAAGAGATCAGAGAAAGTTCTAGTTAACACCTAATTTTAGAAAAGATTAATAGCCAAAACCAACAAGAAGTTGGTCAGAAGTAGGTCTTATCAGAATTAAACACAGAAAAATGGGAATCAGAAAGCCAAAAAGATACTGTCTTTGGGCCTAACAGTCCCAGTTTTAAATCCAAGCCTTGCAATTTAGTTGAGTGATCTTGGACATGTTATTTAACCTTTCTAAGTCTTAGACTGCACCTTAGAAGCAAGGATGGCGAGACTATGTCTCACATACTTTGGACATGTTATCAGGAGAGATCAGTCCCTGGAGAAGGACATCATGATTGGTAGAGGGTCAGCGAAAAAGAGGAAGACACTAAACAAGATGGACTGACACAGTGGCGGCAACAACGAGCTCAAGCATAAGAACAACTGTGAGGATGGTGCAGGACAGGGCAGTGTTTTGTTCTGTTGTACACAGGTTCACTGTGAATCAGAACTGACTCGATGGCACCTAACAACAACAAGTCTCAGTTGCCTCATCTATAAAATGGGAATAATAGTATCTAATTCATGCGATTGTCATAAAGATTACATTAGGTAATATATGAAAAACATAGGAAGCAGGGCTTGATAAATACTAAGAGCTCAATAAATGTAGATGAATACAGATCCACACATACTGTCTAAAGAAGGAGGTTCCCTGGCTCACAAACTCAAGTGGCAAGTATATCCTAGAGATGGATGCATCAGACAGTGATAACCTGATGCCATTAAATCAACTAAATGAGCATAATAATAATAATCTTGCAGAGAACATTTTGAGACTTAAATGAGATGACATATATGAATAGTATATCTGACTATCTCAGTGACTCAAAGAGAAAACCAAACCCGTTGCCCTCGAGTTGATACAGACTCACAGTGACCCTATATGACAGAGTAGAATTTCCCCATAGGGTTTCTAAGGCAGTAAATCTTTATGGAAGCACTGCCACATCTCTCTTCCAGAAGCAGACTGCCACATCTTTCTCCTGCAGAGGAGCTGAGTGCTTTAACCACTGTACCACCAAGGCTTTATGAATAGTGGCCATTATTCTTTCAGGACTAGCATGACTTCTATCATTTCTAGGAAGCTTTCTTGGCCTCCCACAGTCAGATTTAATTTCTCTCTCCTTTGTGTTCCAATACTATTATTTATCTCTCTATTATCATGCTGCTGTACTAAAATTATGTGCCTATTTCCCTGGCTAAGTTGTGAGCCCCTGAAGGACAGGGGCTGAGTCTTTACCTTTTTCCCATAGGAAAAGTGCCTGGTTAGCTAAATCAATAAAGCACCTGGTCCCTGCCCTCAAGGAGCATATAGTTTAGTAGAGGAAAGACTATCTTCCTTGATTTGTGACATAGAAGATAAGAGAATTCCGGGACTATATATTATAGTACAAAGAACCCTGAATTTAAAGTCAGTAAAACTAGGTTCAAATTCTGCCTTGACATTTACTCACTATGAGCCTAAGCAAATGGCTGAATCTTTACTAAAGCCTCAGCTTCCTTTTCTGTAAAATGAGGATTCATATTCCTCTCCAGTTAATGTCCTCTCTGCCTAGCCTCCTTCACAATCAAGCTATCAAAAAAGTTGGCTATAACCATTGTCTCCACTTCTTCATGTCTCATTTCCTCATCTTACTGCGATTTTGCTTCACTCTCCACTTATGACCTCCATATTCTCAAATCCAATGTACACTTTTCAACCTTCAACTTTGACTTTTCACCAACATGTGACACACACACTCCATTTCTTTATGAAACTTACTTCTTCTCATGGCTGCCTACCCCTACAATCTATGTCCTAACTGCTACTCCAGAAATAACACTATTCTGTAGCCATTCCTATCTGGACACATCATTTCACATCTCTATGACTTCATACATTCTGCTCCTTCTATCTGGAATGATTCTTTGCTCCTCTAAAAGTTTTTTCTGCCTGGTTTAACTTTTCATGACTCTTCAAGACCCAGTTCAAATATCTCCTTTACTGTGAAACTTCCCCTGCCCCCCTGACTTTCTCCATCAAAACAGAGCTGAGTAGTGCCTCCGTTATGCCATCACTGTTCCTTGTACATCTCTATTAACAACAATAAATAGTATCATTATTGATCACCATGTGTCAGATACCTTACAAGCACTTTATATACTCCTCATAACCACCTGAAGAGATTTTTTTTATTAAAAGGAATTTATTGTTATCCCGATTTTACAGATGAGTACAACATAAGAACTTCCAAGGCAGCTTTTTCAAAATGCAGATGACTAGGCTTATCAGAATCTTAGGACCGATGCATTTTAAACATGATGCTGATATCACTAATATCCTACCATCACACTGGAGAAACAATGATGTAAGCAAATAATTTGGTGGATTTATTTAGTATTTATTCTTATCAGTTAATGAAGAATCCTGAATGGTTACAGACATCAGATTTAAGCAATTAACTTGGGAGAAGCTTTCAATGAATTAGAGAATTAATACTGCCTGGCCTTAAACATAAGGAAGCAATCAAACCTTCATATCTAAAACAAAACCTCCAACCCATAAAAAATCTACCCAATTCTTTCTCCCAACAATTTCATTCCTTCTGTATAAGCAGCATGGGAAAAAAATCACAGTTTTCTCCAAATGTCCTAATGTTTTATTAAGATTATTCATATCTTTGCAGTGACAAAAAATTAGACATTCTTTGTTGAATTTCAAAGCTCCAGCAATAGAAAATTCAAGCAAACTCACTTTTATGAATTCAGCATATTAATTTCACAAGCTATCCTCAGAAGAAAAGATTACAGAAAAAGTTCTACCTGGTTTTGAAGACCCAATGTCAGCCTGTCCTAACTGTTTTTTCCTTTTGGCTTCCTCCACTGGATTTTCAAACTGGGTCTTCTGGTTAAGGTGACTGTGAAATGTAGAAAAAAATGCATTTCAGTTTACAATAACAGAGTTACATATTTTTAAATATACTATCATACCATTTAATCACCAAAGATTAGGCCATGTAACACAGAGAAGCTGACAGATCATAGCAGAGGGGCTTTCTGCTAACTACAGAAAGGCCCACCAAAAATGCCTAGAAGTCAAAGCTGCTGAAGCTTATGGGTATTTCATTTACTATAGGGTTGCTATTGAGTTGGAATCAACTCGATGGCAACAGGTTTGGTTCTTTTGGTTTATAGATTCATCATAGTGTTGTTACGTGCTGTCAGGTTGGTTCTGACTCATAGCGGCCCTATGTCCAATAGAATGAAACACTGCCCGGTCCTGCGCCACCCTCACAGTTCTTGCTATGCTTGAGCTCACTGTTATAGTCACTGTGTCAACCCATATCGTTACGGGTCTTCCTCTCTTTCGCTGACTCTCTACTTTACCAAGCATGATGTCCTTCTCCTGATAACATGTCCAAAGTATGTGAGACGAAGTCTCACCATCCTTGCTTCTAAGGAGCATTTGGGCTATACTTCTTCCAAGACAGATTTGTTTGTTCTTCTGGCAGTTCATGGTATATTCAATATTCTTCACCAACACCATAATTCAAAGGCATCAATTCTTCTTTGGTCTGCCTTATTTAAACCTACCCAATACAGCCAATAACAGTTTTCAAAACTATGGTAGTTTGGAAACTCTTATCTGATGCAGTAAGAACTGGTGATAATTGGTTAGATAATTAAAAAAAAAAAAGGAAGTTAAAGATGGGAGGTTTTAAATTTAAGTTTCTCTAAAAGGAAGCAAGATTGTAAAGACATTTTTCAAGAAATCTGAGTAAAGAACCCATCTAGAATTTTACTATTGCTATTCCAACCGACTCACATCATTTCAGCAGCAACTTTTTTTAGTGATTTGCTTTTATAAAATTGTATCATAGAACAACTCTTTCACACTCAGATTTCTCCACAATTATGTAATAATTAATAAATTATGTAATTGCAACACAAGTACAACTAATATTTACAATCTGGGACAATCACAACGGACTCTGGGGGAGGCGGAAATATGCGGGAAGACTAGAGGGTAACCAACTAGCCAATAATATTCAGCATTCTACGGGGAGCTGTATGGTTTATAGAGGGAAGGAAGCATTGGTTATTCTGGCAAGTCAGTTAAGTAGACATTGGTTAAGAAAGCAACTATTATACTAAATATGTTTGAGGCCACAGATAGGTCTAATGCAGAAGCAATGGGAATCATAATTTAGCACTTCCACAGTACAAATATATTTCAGCCAAATGATATGTGTTTTCCAGTAAAATTCCATTTTAACAAGAACGGACATAAGTAAACACCGGCAATTAAACATTAAATTATGAAAATTTTGGAATGAATGTCCTTAGACAATTACCAAAATCTATACATAAATAGTCATGCAACTCGGATATTTACTTTGCAGTTTGTGAACATTATAGTAGTGGAGGAGGGGGCATTACGGAAAAAAAATAAAACCCTCATAGCAAGGAGTGTTAGCTTTCTCTACGTTGTTTAGGCTTCTAGTGCGTATCACCTCCGCAACAGATGTGGGTATTTAGCTTCAGAGCTCTAAATATAGCAAGCTCTATTTGACAGTCTTTGGGCTCTGATTTCATTAAAACTCAAGTATGCTTTTGCCTCTTATTACAAGGGGGCACCTTATCCATTGAGTTAACTGTATAAACCCTCTGTGAAAATGAAAGCCTTCAGTGCTAAATTAGATATCACTTCAAAAAAAAATTATTAGGTACTGGCATTTTACTTTAAAAAAAAAAACAATTAGAAAATGATACTTGGGAGAGCATAAACCTGTTTAGAAAGAACTTTGGCTCACTTTAACGTCATCAGCTAGAATGACTCACTTTGCCACCCAGACACTTAGAATGTAAAAAAGTAGTAATTTGTATTTATACCCTTTGTAATGTGTGGGAGAAGAGAGTAGAAATATGCAAATGAGTAATCCCTTTCCTAAAAATTATTTGACAAAAGAATATAAGATTTTAGTGAAGGGAGTAATCGCATTGTTACCTTAGACTACCAAACCAAAACCAAACCCATTGCCGTTGAGTTGATTCCAACTCATAGCTACCCTTCAGGACAGAGTAGAACTGCACCATAGGTTTCCAAGGCTGTAAATCTTTATGGAAGCAGACTGCCATGTCTTTCTCCCATGGAGCGGCTGGTGGGGTTGAATCGCCGACCTTTGGGTTAGTAGCCAAGTGCCTAACCACTGTGCCACCAGGGCTCCGTTACCTTACACCACTTAGGTTAAAATGCCACCAACAAAACAAAACAAAAAAGCTAAAACACTCTCCTTTTCCTTTAGTTACCTATACCCATAATATTATTATAGATGTAACAGATTTTGTTTTACATGTAACTAGCTGGGGGAAGTAAGGGAGGAGAATATTACAGATGATCAGAACAGCTAAATAAGAGTAGTGAAAAAGCATGATTTTCAGAAGCTCATGTATATATAACATATAACTTGGAATATTCATCTGTATCAAAATTTTGTGTATAATATCTGAATTTTTAAAATTCATCTCAACAAGCAAAATAATTATTCTTTCACAAAGAATCTGAGATATTAAAGTAGATGTATATTTTGACTTTGACACTAAAGTGCATTAAGGCATTTAACACAATACAATCAAGACACCATTTCTAAATATATAAGCGTTTTTATGGATGGCCTGCCATTAAATTTTGGAAGAATTTTATTTTAAAAAATAAGTTAATCCATTTCAGAATCACATCCTCTAAAATAAACACTCACAAAGAAAAACTGCCATCATAGTTGGTTTTACTACTACAAGGCTCCTGCCAAGAGCAATCACTGTGCCATCTGGTTCGACAAACTACGAGCGCCAAAGAGTAGCCGTTCATGTAACAGCTTTTTATCTCCATCAGTAAACTCACTGCAGATTACTATGGTTGAGATTCAAAACCTAACTAATCTGGGAATCAAGCCACACTCCATAGCTCAGCTGATTCCATACTAATGTGCATCTTGAGTACAGCCTTCACTTCGTAATTTAATAAATCACCTTCCTGTAAAATGAACTTGTTCTGGGAACAGTCATAGAAAATCATGTTGCTGCTGCTGTTGTGGCTTCTAATTCAGGCTATTTTGTGTTACTTCCATGACAACTGGGAGCAGGTCACTTTAGGATTTGCCCTAAACTTGCTTCAATATTATATTCTTGCTTAATGGGAACCAAAGCATTTAGCCCAAGATTTTATAACAGGCAAATGACTTTCACCTCTTGACCATGTATTCAAATTCTCTTGGAATGGATAATAAGAGAATGAGAATTATTATCTCTGAAATGTTCGGCAGTGTCAATGGCAAATACTAGTTGATTAAAGCCCAATTTAAAGAGACTAATAAACTACCAGGGGGAAAGAAAAAATCTCACAATCTACAAAACCTTTTCAGTTGGCCTTCAAATGTTCTTCTGATTTGAAAAATAGTTGTTTTTCCCTTTATTTTAGCTAAACAAGCTTTTTTGTAATAATAAAAAAAAAGAAGAGCTGCTATATACTTTCACATCATAGTATCAGGAAGATATTAAAAAACACAATGGAAATAAAAATTACCATAGACTTCAAAAGGGTCAAAATATTGAAAATATGAAGTTATACACCTAAGGGCCAAACTAATTGAGTTGTTTCCTTAGGGTACAAATAAGATTTTTAGGTGTCATTCCAAAACTCTCTCTAATCACAGTGGCTCAAGTAACAACAACACATTAGAATAAAGGCTAGCGTTACAACAGGAGTCAGAGTTTAGGGCTAATTACCAGGAAATGGCATAGGTTTAAGCCAACAAGTGCTGGAAAATTAGTAAGCAATTACAAAACTACAAGATTACTGTGCTTTCTATTTTTCCAGGTAATAAAATATTTTGCCTTCGCTACCTAGGCAGTAGCTTCAGATTCCTAGTTTCCAGGTAAATGGCAGTGCTTCTGATGCAGATATTTGCCTGAGACCCACAGCCATTGGTAATAATCCTACCTATTTAAAAAAAAAAAAAAACAGAAACAAAAACAAAACCCATTGCCGTTGGGTCGATTCCAACTCACAGTGACCCTATAGGACAAAGCAGAACTGCCCCATAGAGTTTCCAAGGAGCACCTGGTGGATTTGAACTGCTGATCTTTTGGTTAGCAGCCATAGCACTTAACCACTATACCACCAGGGTTTCCAATTCTACCTATAGCATCTGAAAAGAAAGCAATCCCAATGGTCATAACAATATAGTAATTAGATACACGAAGAAACGGAAAAGAAAAAGTAGATGTTGACATTAGCCTAACATTTATCATATACTTCCAAACATTATGGTACAATGCCCTTAAAGTCCTTTCATTGCTTTTAGAACCATAGAGTTTCAATGTTGCAAGTGACCTTAATAGTTCATCTAGTCCAGTGCTCTCATTTCACAGTTTTCCATCTACGACTTTCCTCTTTAAAGGCTGTAGTGGTAATGATAGCAACTCCAGCTATAAATCATCTGGGCAACTTTCCTCTAGCACTCACTATTTACTTCAAAGGCAACTTCTAGGAAGCCCAGGGTCAGTGAAGTAAATGCTCACTGTCCCTATCTTTTCATTTCTTTAGTTGAAAAAGGTGAAAGCTAGATTGCAAAAGCATGAAGTACTCTATTCAGTACTCCCTGAAGCTGTAAACTGAAAGGAAACATTTGAGAGAACAGTAACCATGGTAACAAACTTACTCAACATAGTATGTCCCATACTGAGGGTCCTCTATTTTCTCCCAACCATAAGGAAGTTCTGTAAATAAACAAAAGGTTTGAGTGAAATATCATATTCAAAACAGACAGAAAATAGTTAATCACTGGGTGAATTTAAATGTTTTTGATTTCATTACACTAATATTTGGGAGACAGAGGATGAAGGCTCATTTTTGAAGAACGAATGCAGTTTAAGTCTGAATGACTTCTTCAACAGCCACTGAGTGTCTCAGTGAGTGATTAGGAGACCGGAACAAAAGATGACACTGAACTCACCGGTCTTTATCTGACTCACAAGCCATAAAAAATGCTAATTATTTAAAAAACTATATTATTTTGTTTAAAAAGCTTAGTAACGTTGAAATAAGACATACTTACCCTGGGGTCAAATACCAGAAGCAGCTGCTTGTTAAAATTTTCACTATTATACATATATGTGTCAATTATTCCTATTATATCCTAAACCACTTCTCCCCTATGGAAAGTTTAGCCTTGGGTTTATGACATTTCAAGTAGGCAATCTAGATTTGCTTAAAACCTAAGAAAGTACTTGCTTTCCCTTGTATTACTTTGATCTGAGTATCTGAAGGAGGATTTATTCAACTACCAAACCAAACCCATTGTTGTCCAGTCGATTTGGACTCATACCTACCATACAGGACAGAGTAGAACTGCTCCATAGTTTCCAAGGAGCGACTGGTGGATTCAAACTGCTGACCTTTTGGTTAGCAGCCGAGCTCTTAACCACTGTGCCACCAGGGCTCCAGTGCCTTGTGTACGTAATATTTATTCGTGAAGAGTAACAAAGAAATGTCTTACATAGGATTATTAAATATTGTTTATTCCAACTAATTTACCAATAAAATATAAGCAGAAAAACTGAAAGTAGTTAAATTTCTAATAGTTTAAAAAAAAAAAATCTGGTTTTTACAAAATGGGCTGAAAGAATCCTCTTTTCCCTCTTGTTTTGTCTGCACTCCTTATAAAGTTAAGGTTTCTGAAAAACCATTTAACATATTAGTTAGACATGGATTAATCTGGCAGGAATACTCCTAGCAGGCGGTTCTAATGCTACCAATTATTATGTGAGTCCAGTAAGAAAGAATTTTTTAAAAAGCCACAGTTGTACACTATGATGTCCGACATTTTTATTTTCAATTTCTTTTACTGTTTTTCTGCTATGCCAAAACACACACAAACACATACACACATGCACGCACACACATACATACACACAAATGAAGTATGCTGGACAGAAAATAGCCTTAGAAAATATCAAAAGGCACTATTTAATTCAGCCTCAGCTATCAACTTTGTGATGCACCAACTTGGTAAGTAAAAATTCCATTATAATGAGCCTAACAAACTAAACAATCTGTTTTGCTCTAATAAAAATTGTTATTCCACATTAAGAATAAAAAGAGAGAATAAATGACCAGCCTCTTGATGAAAAAGTCTCAATCCTCCCTTCCCCGCCTTCTCTGCAACATATTTTTCTGCCTATATATGTTGATTGGTGGTTTCAAAGGTTGGTAAGCTTTTGTGATTTTCCTTTGAAGGACCTAGTTGGAATGTCTAAAGTGGAAAAGATGAGAATAGTTGAAAAGTAACTACTATGTGGAAACAGAACAAAACAACTAAGAAGAACTGAGATACAATTCAGTTCATTTTGTTCCTTTGCACCTAAGATGAAAACAACTGGCGATTAAATTGGTACAATATTTTATGATCAAGCAACTGTTACATGGATAAGAGTGTGTGTGGAATTATATGTGTAAAGATGCACTATAACAATTTTATCAAAGCATTATCGTTATTGGTCTTCCATAAAAGACATTTTTTTTCTTTAATAGAAATTTTCTTGAAAGAGTACGGGAACCATATGGTGCTGAGTAAGACTCAGTTCTACAAGTACAGCACAACTGGATTCATACTTTGTCTCTAGAAATGTCTGGAGAATTGAAGGAACTATAGAAATATCTGAAAAATTCCATCTGGTATCCAAGAAAATTTACTAAAATGGATGTATTAACACTTAATCAGGATAAAAGATCAACATCTTTCAGTGTTAACCTGGACACTGATTCAGCATTCTGGCTAGCATTTAAAGCAATCAGCAATAACAGATAAAGTATAGGAGAAGAAACAAATGTGGTAGTATCTTCTGGGTTGCTTTTGACACCATTAGTCAGTTTTTTGCAGGGGAGATTAATATAGATAGAGAAGATGGTTATTATTTGCCTATTTAAAATGAAGGCAATAAAAGCAAGACTAAGATACCTAGCAATTTTATACGCCTTCCATTGGATTGATTCATTCACTGATTTTCTTCCTTTCTTTTTTCCTTCCTTCCGTTCCTCTCCCTCTCCTTCAAATGCAGAAATAAAAATTAAAAACACAATGCAGATATTGACCTCAAAAAGTGCATGGTCTAGACAGGAAGGCAGAAAAGATAACTGACATAATGAAGATAAACGTGAGTGTTGGGGAAAGTGCAGAGGAATTGGCACCAACTGGCTAATGAGAGCAGCTATCTGGAAAGCTTTCTAAGGTGCTGTTTGAGCTAAGTCTTAAAGGATGAATTCAGATTGGGCAGAGGAAGAGGGAGTTCATTCCAGACAGGTGAAAGGGTATGTGCAAAGACACTGAGGTGGTAAGAATGCCTAGCATTTTCAGTAATTACAAATAATTTGGTGTGGCTGGAGTAAAAGTTGTATGCAAAGAGAGATGAGTCCTATAAGCAAACACCAAATCACAACACGCCTGGAGTGCCTTAATAAGGAGTTTGATCTTTATTTGATGCTGTTGGGACTGAATAAGCAGGATTATGACATGATTAAATTTATATTTGAGAAAGATTATGAGCAGAAATTAATAGAGGATGCAATGGATGGAGCAGAGCAATAATAAAGGAGAACACATAAGAAAATTATTTGAAAGCCTAGGTAAAAAAATTATGAAGGCTGGAACTTAGACAATGATAGTGGGAATGAAGAAAAAGAATGGATAATAGAGACAAGTAAGTAGAAGTAATAGATTTCATGAGAACATGAAGACTGAGGGAGGAAAGGAGAGACCAAGATGATTGCAGGTTTCTGGCCCTTCTGGCAAGAAAATGATACATTATCAAATATTTACTGAATACATACTATGAACAATACCATTAATATCACACACAAGTAAAATTTTGCTGAAGATAATTCAAAAATGGTTGTAGCAGTACATCAACAGGGAACTGCCAGAAATTCAAGCCAGATTCAAAAGAGGACGTGGAATGAGGGATATCACTGCTGATGTCAGATGGATCTTGGCTGAAAGCAGAAAATATCAGAAAGATGGTTACCTGTATTTTAGTGACTATGCAAAGGCATTCAACTCTGTGGATCATAACCAATTATGGATAACATTTCGAAGAATGGGAATTCCAGAACATTTAATTGTGCTCATGTGGAAGCTGTACATAGACCAAGAGGCAGTCATTCGAATAGAACAAGGGGATATTGAGTGGTTTAAAATCAGAAAAGGTATGCATCAGGGTTGTAACCTTTCACCATACTTATTCAGTCTGTATGCTGAGCAAATAATCTGAGAAGCTGGACTATATGAAGAAGAACGTGGCATCAGGATTGGAGGAAGACTCATTAACAACCTGTAATATGCAGATGACACAACTTTGCTTGCTGAAAGCCAAGAGGACTTGAAGCATTTACTGATGAAGATCAAAGATTACAGCTTTCAGTATGGATTACACCTCAGTATAAAGAAAACAAAAGTATCCACAATGGACCAATAAGCAACACCATGATAAACAGAAAAGACTGAAGTTGTCAAGGATTTCATTTCACTTGGATCCACAATCAACACCCATGGATGTAGCAGTCAGGAAATCAAATGATATATTGCACTGGGCAAATATGTTGCAAAAGACCTCTTTAAAGTGTTACTTTGAAGACTAATGTATGCCTGACCCAAGCCATGGTATTTTCAGTCATCTCATATGTATATGAAAGCTGAACAATGAATAAGGAAAACTGAATAAGAATTGATGCCTATGAATTATGGTGTTAGTGAAGAATTTGAATATACCATGGATTGCCAGAAGAACGAATAAATCTGTCTTGGAGGAAGTACAGCCAGAACGCTCCTTAGAAGCAAAAATGGCAAGACTTCGTCTCACATACTTTGGACATATTATCAGGAGGGACCAGTCCCTGGAGAAGGACATCATGCTTGATATAGAAGAGGATCAGCGAGAAACAGGAAGACCCTCAACAAGATGGATTAACCCAGTGGCTGCAACAACAGGTTCAAATAGAACAACAATTGTGAGGATGGTGCAGGACTGAGCAGTGTGCTTTGTTCTGTTGTTGTGCACAGAGGTGCTATGAGTCAGAACTGACTCAACGGCACCCAACAATAACAACAACCTACTTTGAAAATGACAGCGGGAATAGAAAAGAGAAATTAATTCAAATTTAGAGGAATTTAGAAGACAGATAATATGTGTGAAGTGCCTAGTATAGTGTCTAGGATCAATGGGCACTCAATAAATGTTAGTTTTTTTTAACAACTGGAATTGATAGAACTTGGTAGTTAGCTGCATTGAAGAGGTGAAGCTGAGGAAAACACTGAGGATGATAACCAGTGTTGAGATCAAGCAACTTGGAAGATGTGATGTCATTTGCTGAGGGCAGGAAGGCTATACAGAAACTTAGCTCAGTTTGCAATGTGTTACATTTGAGGGCTCTGTGGAATATCCTGGTAGAGAGAGCTAAATTCTTGGAAATATGAATTTGGTATTCAAAAGAGAAATGTGGGAAGACAGATAATAAGGACTTGGGAGACATTAACATAGATAAATCTACAGCAGTGACAAGATAACCTAGGTAAACTGTGACTAGAAGAACTGAGAGAACTAACCTTAGGAGCACTAACATTTAAAGAGCAAATGAAGACAGTGAGAACAACCAGGGACAGCGGTATCAAAGAAGACAAAATAGGAACGCATGATCAACACTATTAAATGCTACAAAGCCGGCA